GTAAAGAAAAGCTAAAAATTGTTAGTTGCCTATTCACACCCCCCCCCCCTCTAGTCAACTATATCGATCCTTTCAGAGTTTCTCTCGAAAGAAGTGAGTGGGAGGAAAGTAGAACTTGATGAGGTAATTGTACCTTGTCCCGAATTGGAAAGTAGTTCATCACATAAATCAGTTCCAATGATTCCTACACCAATTAATGAAGAAGCTAATGATGATGATCATGAAACTTTAGATCAAGTTACTACCGAACCTCGTAGGTCAACCAGAGTACGGTCCGCACCAGAGTGGTACGGTAATCCTATTCTGGAAGTCATGTTACTAGACCATGATGAACCTATGAACTATGAGGAAGCGATGATGAGCCCAGATTCTGCGAAATGGCTTGAAGCCATGAAATCTGAGATGGGATCCTTGTATGAGAACAGAGTGTGGACTTTGGTGGACTTGCCCAATGATCAGCAAGCCATATAAAATAAATGGATCTTTAAGAAGAAGACTAGCGCTGACGGTAATGTTACTGTCTACAAAGCTCGACTTGTTGCAAAAGGTTTTTGACAAGTTCAAGGAGTTGACTACAATGATACCTTCTCACCCGTAGCGATGCTTAAGTCTGTCTGAATCATGTTAGCAATTGTTGCGGTTTATGATTATGAAATTTGGCAAATGGATGTCAAAACTGCATTCCTTAATGGATTTCTTAAAGAAGAGTTGTATATGATGCAACCAGAAGGTTTTGTCGATCCAAAAGGTGCTAACAAAGTGTGCAAGCTCCAGCGATCCATTTATGGACTGGTGCAAGCCTCTCGGAGTTGGAATATATATTTTTATAATGTGATCAAAGCATATGGTTTTATACAAACTTTTGGAGAACCATGTATTTACAAGAAAGTGAGTGGGAGCTCTGTAGCATTTCTAATATTATATGTGGATGATATATTGTTGATTGGAAATAAGACAGAATTTCTGGATAGTATAAAAGGATACTTGAATAAGAATTTTCCAATGAAAGACGTCGGTGAAGTTGCTTATATATTGGGCATCAAGATCTACAGAGATAGATCAAGACGCTTAATTGGACTTTCACAAAGCACATACCTTGATAAAGTTTTGAAGAAGTTCAAAATGGATCAGTCAAAGAAATGGTTCTTGCCTGTGTTACAAGGTGTGAAGTTGAGTTAGACTCAATGCCCAACCACTGCAGAAGATAGAGAAAAAATGAAAGTCATTCCCTATGCCTCAACCATAGGTTCTATCATGTATGCAATGCTGTGTACCAGACCTGATGTGTGCCTTGCTATAAGTTTAGCAGGGAGGCACAAAGTAATCCAAGAGTGGATCACTGGGCAGTGGTCAAGAACATCCTGAAATACTTGACAAGGACTAAGGATATGTTTCTTGTTTATGGAGGTGACAAAAAGCTTGTCGTAAATGGTTACGTCGATGCAAGTTTTGACACTGATCCGGATGACTCTAAGTCGCAAACTGGATACGTATTTATATTGAATGGTGGAGCTGCTAGTTGGTGTAGTTCCAAGCAGAGCGTCGTGGCGGGATCTACGTGTGAAGCGGAGTACATAGCTGCTTTGGAAGCAGCAAATGAAGGAGTCTGGATGAAGTTCATATTCGATCTAGGTGTAATACCTAGTGCATCGGGTCCAATGAAAATCTTTTGTGACAACACTGGAGCAATTGCCTTGGTGAAGGAATCCAGATTTCACAAGAGAACCAAACACATCAAGAGAAGCTTCAACTCCATCCGCGATCAAGTTAAGGAGGGAGACATAGAGATTTGCAAGATACATACAACTCTGAATGTTGCAGACCTGTTGACTAAGACTCTTCCACGAGCAAAACATGATCAGCACCAAGACTCCATGGGTGTTAGAATCATTACTATGTAATCAAGATTATTGACTCTAGTGCAAGTGGGAGACTGAAGGAAATATGCCCTAGAGGCAATAATAAAGTTGTTATTTATATTTCCTTATGTCATGATAAATGTTTATTATTCATGCTAGAATTGTATTAATCGCGAACTTAGTACATGTGTGAATACATAGACAAAAACAGAGTATCCCTAGTATGCCTCTACTTGACTAGCTTGTTAATCAAAGATGGTTATGTTTCCTGACCATAGACATGTGTTGTCATTTGATGAACGAGATCACATCATTAGAGAATGATGTGATGGACAAGAGCCATCCGTTAGCTTAGCATAATGATCGTTAAGTTTTATTGCTATTGCTTTCTTCATGACTTATACATGTTCCTCTAACTATGACATTATGCAACTCCCGAATACCAGAGGAACACCTTGTGTGCTATCAAACGTCACAACATAACTGGATGATTATAAAGAAGCTCTATAGGTGTCTCCGAAGGTGTTTGTTGGGTTGGCATAGATCGAGATTAGGATTTGTCACTCCGTGTATTGGAGAGGTATCTCTGGGCCTCTCGGTAATGCTCATCACTATAAGCCTTGCAAACAATGTGACTAATGAGTTAGTTACGGGATGATGCATTACGGAACAAGTAAAGAGACTTGCCGATAACGAGATTGAACTAGGTATGAAGATACCGACGATCGAATCTCGGGCAAGTAACATACCGATGACAAAGGGAACAACGTATGTTGTTATGCGGTTTGGCCGATAAAGATCTTCGTAGAATATGTAGGAACCAATATGAGCATCCAGGTTCCGCTATTGGTTATTGATCAGAGATGTGTCTTAATCATGTCTACATAGTTCTCAAATCATGTCTACATTAACGTTCAATGATGATTTGTATTATGAGTTATGTGTTTTGGTGACCGAAGTTTTGTTTGGAGTCCCGGATGAGATCACGGACGTGATGAGGAGTCTCGAAATGGTCGAGAGGTAAAAATTCATATATTGGAAGGTAGTATTTGGACATTGGAATGGTTTCGAGTGGTTCGGGTATTTTACCGGAGTACCGAGGGGTTACTGGAACCCCCCGGGGCAAGGGGTGGCCGCCCCCCCATAGCAGTCCGAATTGGACTAGGGGAGGGGGCGGCACCCCCCTTTCCCTCTCCCTCTCCCTCTCCTTCCTTTTCCCTTCGGTGGAAGAAAGGAAAGGCGGGGGGGGCGAATCCTACTAGGAGTGGAGTCCTAGTAGGACTCCCCCCATGGCGCGCCCCTCCTGGTCGTCGGCCTCCTCCTCCCCTCCTTTATATACGGGGGCGGGGGGCACATCAATTGTTCTTTTAGCCGTGTGCGGTGCCCCCCTCCACGGTTTACGCCTCGTAATGCTTAGGTGAAGCCCTGCGCGATCACATCACCATCACCGTCATCAAGCCGTCGTGCTGACGAAACTCTCCCTCGACCCTCTGCTAGATCAAGAGTTCGAGGGACGTCATTGAGCTGAACGTGTGTTGAACTCGGAGGTGCCATACGTTCGGTACTAGATCGGTTCGATCGTGAAGGCGTTCGACTACATCAACCGCGTTAGCCTAACGCTTCCGCTTTCGATCTACGAGGATACGTGGACACACTCCCCCCCCCTCTCGTTGTTATGCATCTCCTAGATAGATCTTGCATGATCGTAGGATTTTTTTTGAAATTGCATGCTACGTTCCCCAACAAGCAAAACCGTGCCTCTCGTGGAAGAAAAAAAACAGAAAGCGCGTATTTTTTTCCTTTTCGAAAGAGACACGGGTGTGCCTCTCGCGAAAGCACAACCGTGCCTCTCGCGCGAGCAAAACTGTGCCTCTCGCAGAAGGAAAAAACAGAAAGCACGTTTTTTCCGTTTCCGAGAGGCATGGCCCGCGAAAGCACAACCGTGCCTCCCACGCGAGCAAAACCGTGCTTCTCGGGGAAGAAAAAACAAAAAAAATGGTTTTTTCGTTTCCAAGAGGCACGGTCGTGCCTCTCACGAAAGCACAACCGTGCCTCTCGCAGAAGCAAAACCGTGCCTCGCACGGAAGAAAAAAAACAGAAACGCGTTTTTTTCGTTTCCGAGAAGCACGGCCGTGCCTCTTGTGAAAGCACAACCGTGCCTCACGCAAAAAGAAAAAAACAGAAAATACGTAAAAAAGCATTTTTCTCGCGAGATTTTTTTTCAAAAGTTAAGAAAGACCTGTAGAAAACCAAAAGGTCGAAAAGAACCGGAGAAAAAAACGGTTGAAAAGCTGAAAACTCATGTGAAAAATAAATAAATAAAACAAAATTCGGAGGGAGTGTCCAAAGCGTGACACGTGATGTGACTGAAAGCGCGCTAAGTGAAGTGCTCGTAGCCCACCCCCAAGTGCGAGGCTCCCGAAGAAGCGCTCGTCAACTAGTTGCTCCTTTTTTTTTAGGGGTACTAGTTGCTTTTTTTTTTGAGACAAAGGGGTACTAGTTGCTCCTCCTTGAAGTTTTTTTTTTTGAGACAAACTCCTCCTTGAAGTTGCTCTCGTGACAACCTGGTGATGGGGCCTCGATATATTTTCTGGACCCTATGTTTACGGGCTTTAGAATCAGCCCGGGATCCAGCCGAATACTAAGGCCCACTGCGAAGGTAGACAGCACGGCCCGGGCGCACGCACGCACGCGTCGCCTCTCCTCTCCTTGTTCTGTATTCCTCTTCGCTTTGTTGCGAAGCAAACTACTCGCTACCGTGCCGCCGCGCTGCCGCGTCTGCGCTCAGGCCGGCCGCCGCCTGCGCTGCCTCGTCGTGCTGCGCGCGCCCCCACCCCTCCCGCCCTCGGCTATTGACTGCTCGGCTTCCGGCGCTGATTCAGACGATCACTGTCGGGCTCCTCCTCGGCTTCCCCCTTCGCGCTACCGGCTGTTACGCGTCCTTCCCCTCCTCCCTCTCCGCGCCGGACCTCCGGCTCCTCTTCCCCCCTCCGGTGGTGCACCGTCGAGCTCGCTGCTCGCCCCCTTGCAAGCGCAGGCGGGCGGCTGTCTGTACGTGTGCTGTATTAGGTATAATTTCTATATTTTTTTGTATATGCGCTGAATTGAATCCTCAAACTGACGCATTTTATCACCAGTTTCATGTTTAGAACAGAAGATGAAGAAATTTTCCCATGTTTTGATGTCTTGAAGGTGTTGTTTCAGTGATTAACTATCTCACTTGATGTTGTGGGACGAGCAGATGAACCGAACCATCGATTTTGTACTCTTTTATACCCCTGTATTAGCTTTTGTAGTTTTCCTCATCTTTTATCTAACTTATTGGATCGTTAAACATTAAGTTTAACTTCTATATTTATTGTGCAGCCGGGCCATATGTTTCTATGCTTTCACAAGAGATATTTTTTGGATATTTATTTACAAGTTATAAGCACTTAGTTTCTGGCCCGGGGTTTGCCCACCATACCCTGTTCAGTTCCTTCTCCTCTCCTCCTTCTAGATTGTTTGAGGATCAATTTCTATGTTTCTGGCTTATAGTATCTTCGTTTAGCATAAACATATACTTGAAAATATATTATTTTATATGCATTATTTTGTATTTATTGTGTATATATATAGCCGCAGCTTGCGTCACCGTTTTCTGTGAAATGGTGAATCCGCATTTCTGTGTCTGCGTAACATGTGTCAGGTCACCAAATTGCTTTAGGGACACTGTTGGAAGCAAGCCAGGGCTACATCTATGTTAGTACTATGTTAGGCAAGTTACATTGTAGCGTGAAATTAAGTCTGACATTGTGCTAAAATTGATGAACCAACTGGGACCTTATTAATTCAGCATGTGATGTTTTTTTTTCTCTTGAATGGATTTCTATTTCGAATGGTCAGCATATAATGTTATGAGCACTTTTCTTGTTCATTCTCATCACGCCATTTGATTCACAATCTGCAGGAGTTTTTTGTGTGTCAAGGAATGTCTGCCTCAGAAAACCAGGCTGCTGAAATCAGCAACGAAACTGATGACAGGAAGGGAGACCGTCCATGGAACATCATACGTATACGTTTACCACCGAGGAAGAAGTTGCCTGACGCCTCCCTCACCCTGAGCAAGAAAGTACCTCGGATTAACAAAACCGGAAGTAAGGAAGTACCTGAAATGAGTATTGACAGCCCAGGCAAGAATCTGACAACTGCTCCAGTACTGGGTGAGGCAAGCAGCCATTCCCCAAGAATGGGACTGTGTAATGAGGGCAGTAGCAACACCCTGAGCAAGACAATGTCTGCTAAACCTGAGAGTGATACCTCAGGCCACAAACAACCAGATGAGGCAACTTACAGCGCCCTGAGCAAGAACCTAAGAGTCGATGATGAAGAGCAAGGAAGTGATGCAAACTGTTATGCGGCTAAACAGGGACCGTATGAAGAGGCCAACAACAATATCTTGAGCATGATACTTCCTCTACCAGGCAAGAATCTGATTACTGCTCCAGTACAGGGTGAGGCAAGCAGCCACTCCCCAAGAATGGGACTGTGTAATGAGGGCAGTAGCAACACCCTGAGCAAGACACTGTCTGCTGAATCTGAGAGCGATACCTCAGGCCACAAACACCTGGATGAGGCAACTTACAGCGCCCTGAGCAAGAACCTAAGAGTCGATGATGAAGAGCAAGCAAGCGATGCAAACTGTTATGCTGCTAAACAGGGACCGTGTGAAGAGGCCAACAACAATATCTTGAGCATGATACTTCCTCTACCAGTTCAGGAAGTACCTGAAGGTCATATAGACAACAGCCCAAGCAAGAATGATATAGCCCCTGGAATGCAGGGTGATGAGGAACATAACAACTCCCCAAGAAGGAAACTGTGCTGTGATACTAACAACAAAGAAGAAGATGAAGAGGGTAACAACGGAAGCTGGAACCTGACAACCACCGCTGCGAAGTATGAGGATGTGGTTGAAGAAGCTCACCACCCCATTCCCACCAAAGAAAACAATGCCCCAAGCAATCCACCAACTGATCCAGCCAAACAAATTTCCCCAGTCAAGAGGCTGCCTACCTCTTCAGTACAGGCTACTGGTACTAGCCGCAGCCGGAACACCCCTGAAATGAAGCTTTCTGCTTCTGTTTGCCAGGCTGTGGAGCAAAGTACCAATGCTGCAAACACAGAGGTCACAACGGAGTATCAAGAGTTTGAGGAGAAGATCAAGCGAACTGTATTTCTTGTCAATCTTGACAACCTGTCTCACCAAGCTACAGAGGTTAAGAGCAACCCAAGCAGGACCCTGTCAACCACTGCTATAGAGCGGGAGATGTTTGAAAATGCTAACCACACCATTCCTAGCAAGAAGCTTTCTGATGTGGCTAGAAACCAGGCCCTGATCGATAGATCAACTGACCCAGCTAAGAAAAGAACCCCACGCAAGAAGCCACACACCTCTGCATTACATGCTACTGATACCAGCCAGAATACATTTGGAATGAAGCTTCCCATTTCTGATGGCCAGGCTGTTAATCAAAGTAAGAGTGCTGCAGATTTGGATTCCGTCAAACAGTATCCTGAGGACAACAAACTGATTACTGACAAGCCAGGCAAGAATTTGATAACCACTCCAGCACATGGTGAGGCAAGCAGCCACTCCCCAAGAGTGGGACACTGTAATGGGGCCAATAGCAACACCCTTAGCAAGACATGGTCCGCTGAGTCTGAGAGCGATACCTCAGGCAACAAACTACTGGATGAGGCAAATGATAACACCCTGAGCATGAACCTGAGAGTCGCTGCTGAAGAGCAAGGAAGTGATCCAAGCAGTTACGCTGCTAAACATGGATTGTGTGAAGAGGTGAACAACATCTCGAGCATGATGCTTCGTCTTCAACTTCAGGAATTGCCTAGAGATCATATCAACAACAGCCCAAGCAAGAGCCTTACAACGACTAGAAAGCAGGGTGAGGAGGAACATAGCAACTCCCCACGAAAGAAACTGCTCTACAATACTGACAGTAAAGTAGCAGATGAAGAGGGTAACAACCCAAGATGGAATCAAACAATCACCGCTGTGAAGTCTCAGGAGGTGTTTGAAGAAGATAATCATCCCATTCCGAGCAAGATGCTGTCTGGTGAGGCTAAAAACAATGGCCCAAGCAATAGACCAACTTATCGAGCTAACAAAAATGCCCCACACAAGAGTTTGTGTACCGCTTCAGTACAAGCTAGAGCTACTGGTACCAGCGGGAAGACCCCTGGAATGAAGCTTTCTGCTTCTGTTGACCAGGCTGTGGAGCAAAGTACCAGTGCTGCAAACATGGAGGTCATAGAGGAGCATCAAGAGTTGGAGGAGAAGATCAAGGAAATTGTATATCTTGACAACCCCTCTCACAAGGCTACAGAGGCTAAGAGCAACCCAAGCAGGACCCTGTCAACCACTGCTATAAAGTGTGATGTGTTTGAACATGCTAACCACACCATTCCCACCAAGAAGCTGTCTGATGTGGTTAGAAACAAGGCCCCAAGCAAAAGACCAACCGATCCAGCTAAGAAAATCACCCCACGCAAGAAGCCGCGCACCTCTGCAGTGCAGGCTACCGGCACCAGCCAGAATACATCTGGAATGAAGCTTTCCACTTCTGATGGCCAGGCTGCTAATCAAAGTAAGAGTGCTGAAGAGTTGGAAACCATAAAACAGTATCAGGAGTTCGAGGAGAAGGTCAAACGAACTGTTTACCTTGACAACCTATCTCACCAGGCTACAGAGGCAGTCATAAAAACAGCTTTGGGTCAATTTTGTAGTATCAGAAAGGTCAGTTTTGTTGTGAACTACACCATTCCCTACAATATTCCTCAATCTGCATTAGTAGAGATGGAAACTGAGAAGGATGCTGAAGTTGTGGTCAGTATGCTGCAAGACTTCCCTTTTATGATCTCTGGAATTCCAAGGCCTGTTAGGGCGAAGCATGCTACGCCTGAGATGTTCAATGATCGCCCCCGGAGACCTGGGAGTAAATTAAAATTTCGCTGGGTGGGCCACAGAGATCCTGATTATGAGATTCTAAAAAAATCGAAGATACTCTCCAGGAGACATGAGGTGGAGAACTTTGCACTAATTGAGGTAAAATCCATGTTTTAGACCCTCAGTTCTGAAATTCAATGGCAATCATCTTTCACATGCGTGGTCCTGTTCTGTGCTTTATTCACAGATTACTTGGTAATTAGTGGAGTTATGCAAGCATTCTCTGACGCTTGTTGTTTTTTGGACCTTGTAGCATGAACTAGACGAGGAGAAATCGCTAGCAGCGCAGCAGCAGGAGAATCTGAACTGCAATCGCAAGATGTTGGAGACCATGGACAGCGTCATTCTGTCTGGCATGACAAACTACATTTCTAAAATTTATAGTGTCAATTGGAACGATGTGTTCTGAAAATAGCTGAATATTAACGGTACTCTGTGTGCACAGCGTTGGTACTAATCTCGTGCACCATCTGGTTGAAGTGTGATTTAACCTCAGAATCTGAGAGTTGGATGGTTGAACTGTGACCGTTTTATTTTGCGAAAAGGATGGCGTCGATATCGCATACTTGAACGTGTCTGTGTGGGTGGGTTCAAGGCTTCTAGCTTGTATTGTTTCTTGGGAACTTGACCCCAGGAAGTAGTCAATTTACCGGCATCGTAAAGTTTTACGTTCATGTTCAAGCTCAACGTCATTGGAGTATTATAATCCTTATGCTCCTTTTGGTTCTTTCGATCGTGTTACAGCGACAAAGGTCCATTTTAAGGGCTTCTTAAGAGATTTTTCAAAGGTATTTTAGATAGGGGTGCAAGCGGCCCACTTCCAGTTTTTGAGTGTCGATGTCCAGGACATCTGAGGAGTTTAGTGGTTCAAGTTCATTCCCACAAAAGAAAAAAGTTCATTTTGTATTAGCTCACCACGGTTTGCAGGCCTGGCGGGAACCCAACTTTTATCACTAATTTTAGACTAGTTTGATCCTTACAAATTTTTCGATATTATAGGACCATGGTTTGCTCAATCCTATGGATGGCATGCTTGAATTTGTAGGATTTAATGCCACGAGTCCTTTTTTCAGAAGTATTTCTTTGTGCTACATTTCATAGAAAATTTTCACTAACTCAAATATCTTGGAAAATTCTCGTCTTTCTCGTGGGTGTTTCAGCATAGCAGGGACAGTCCCAACTTGCTAGTTCAAGTGATTGCATACAACCATATAACCCCAAGTGTTCCGTTGAAAACTCTCGTTAGCGTTCAAGCGATTGCATACAACCATATAAACCCAAGTGTTCCATTGAAAACTGTGGTTAGCGTTTTGCGAGAAGCGAGGACGAAAACATAAGAATTGCTACATGTAAATGGCCGATCCAACACAAGGTTGGGTCGAAGCTAGTTTTAAATCTGGGGCCTTACACCAACCTCTCAAGCCAATCCAACATTGCAGACAGATTTATGATAACACTTCCTTTTCAAGAGTCTGAGGAAATGTACCTATGTCAGAAAAAAGGGTCCGAGGCAATGTACCTAATACAAACTGTGAAGCCTTCTCTCCTATGACCTATATATATACCCTTAGGCCTTGTTCGGTTTGGAAGGGTTTGAAGAGGTTTGAAAGGGATTGGAGGGGATTAAATCCCTTGCAAGTCAAAATCCTTCTCAAACCTCCCCAATCCCCTTCAATCCCTGTGGCAAGGGGATTAAGCGAACATGGCCTTAAGATGTTCTATAAGATGTCGGTTAAAGGAGGAAACGTGAAAAAAAAAAGAAAAATAGCAAGATCGTTTTGTATGTGTCGCTTCAAAGGATCAGTATGTTGGACAAGAGAAGCAGCGTCATTCATCATCAAGGTCAAAATCGTCGTCCGATGCGCACTCGAGATATGAACCAATCGACTTGCGGAAGATGATAAAAGACTTGTCATCCTGCGAAAAAGAATGCAGTATTTTGCAGGAAGAGGTGTTTCAAACCATGGAACAAAAAAATTGGCTGGTCATTCAGCTTTAGGCCTGACGGGGTAGCTAAAAATGGAGTCTAAGAAATGCAAGCAGTTGTGAATTTTGCCACACCTGCTTCATCCTTTTCGGTGATGGTTTGGCATTTGTTATCTTCTCTGAGAAGGTTTCACCAAGTTCAGACAATGTAGCCGTCTCCTTCCCTGTTTCAAGGATTTGAGTGTAAGAACAGCATATTTCCGTCCGAGGGAAATGAATCCTCTAGTCACTTACTCTGATATTGATACTGCTCAAGCAGTTTCTTTTTCTCAACTTCAACTTGTGAGAATAGGTCTGCGTAACAGGACATTTAACAAGTCAAATAAGAGCCAAATATTTTTGCAGAATCAGTAAGATCTGAACGTCTTCTATGGGAACATCATCCAAATAATGCCTGAGTCGCTGACAAGCAGCAGCCAAGCAATGCGTATTTAAAAACAACACATGAATACAAGTGTCACGTAGATTCTGTTTGCATCAAAACCAGGTATAATTCATTCCTCAATATATTTTTCCAAAGATAAGAATCACAGCTCATAACTCCGCCTATGTCTTCTAGGCATAGCCGGTCCCAAGCCGGGTAAAGGAGGAGGGTTGTAATAGGCTTGGCAAGCCAACATAAAAACTAGCCAGTCCCATGGGTATGAAACCCATTTGAGCGAGAGTAGTACTAGGATGGGTGACCTCCTAGGAAGTCCTCGTGAAAGGGTTTCATATCTAAGGGTTGTGATAGGCTTGGCGAGCAACGTAATGGGCGAGAGTAGTACTAGGATGGGTGACCTCCTGGGAAGTCCTCGTGAAAGGGTTTCATATCTAGCCTATCCCAGCTTGTTTGGGACAAAAGGCTTGTAAGTACTAGTAAGTAGTAAGAATCACAGTTCATACGTACTGGCTGATTAGACCAAATGACATCACATGGCACAACGCCCTAAAATCCTAGATAAATCTGGATAGAAGCACATGATATACTTGTGAAAATGACAACCAGCTCTTATTTGCCATACCTTTGAAGGTTTGTAAGTGTGCATCATTTTCTTCACAGAACATTTCATATGTTTCCTGAAGCTTGGTGTACTCTTCGTTCAATGAACTTTCACACTGCTAATAGTGCAAATCACATGCCATATTTCAATCTTAGGCAAATCAGTAAGTTAGTCGACAATCCGAAAGAATTCTAAACTGGATACCTCTTTCGAAGTGCCTGACAATACTTTCAGCAAGTTCTGCCTGCGCATGCAAATATAACAGTTACACTGCGTTCTAAATAAAAACGAACAAGTTTTCTTTTCGGACAGAAATAGTTTCAGGCGTAATTGTACATGCAGGTATTGTTTCACAGTTCACAAGCAAGTGAGTTACCTTTCCTTCTCAAACTTGGACTTGGTATCTTCAAGCATAGTCTGAATATTGGCTGCAACACTGTCAGGTTGAGAAAAGTAAAGGAATAAACGGTGTAAGGAAAAGGTAAAAGAATAATGATCAGCAACATTATGCGCTTCAAACTTCACAGTACAGTCAATGCAGTCCCTTTAGACCACATGTTATAATTTTTTTCTGCTTTTTCTCCCCGATGCCTGTGTAAATAATTCTTTGTACAATTTTCCTAAAGCATATCTAGATGTGCCATAAGTATTGTTGCACATCTAAGTCCTATGTCATTAATTTTACGCGGAGATTCGTGTGGGTATTTTTTTTCTTTTTATGCTTGATTGAGTCACTTAGATGTGCAATAACTAGGGTCTTTGTAATAGTTCTGAAAAGTTTATAGAAATGTTCAGGCCAGCCGTGGTTCTGAAAATCAACTCACCCGAACAAAGCCACACCATTACATAAAAAACATGAATCGAGGAACCCATCAAATTAATATGCCCATTTTCCTCACATCACTCACAGTGCATATCGCTCCGCATAATATGCAAAAACTGACAGGTACCATCAAACGAACCTAGTTCCTGCATTAATCACATATAATCAGCCGACTGAACACATTGCAGGATTGCAAACGTGCAACGTTTATTTGTTGCACATCCCTCCCGGTGACCATGAACTGGAAGTCTCTCCGAACAAATCGGCGAGCACGAAATGCATCAGAAGAAGCCGCTAGGGTAGCATATACGCATATCCCAATTTTTTTGCACGCTAGCACATACCGCGATAAGAGAAAACTCGGAGGTGCAACCGAAAGAACATTGTTCTGCGCACCTGGCGATGATCTGCTCGCACATCTTCTGGCGATCCTTGTTGGGCCCGCCCTTGATCAACCGCAGCAGGCACGCGATCTGCCTCAAGTCGCTGCTCCCGCCACAAATGTGCCCATCGTCACAAAGTTGAACGACAAGGAATTAGAAATGCGAGCCGCCGAATCGAAGAGGAAAAGCTCGAAATCAGATGCGCGGCACCTGACGAAATCGCCGTCGGATTCCGAGCCGGAGCTGGAGCCGGGGTCGGAGCCGGAGCCGGGATCCACGGGGTGGCGCGGCCTCTTCAACGACCGCAGAGCCTCTTCGCCCGGGGGCATCCTCCTTCCGCCGCCGGGACTCACCGCAGGCCGCATCGCTGGTCGACAAGCGTAGCGCAACGCAGTTCGAAATTTTGCTGGGGAGCGAGAGGGTAGTGATGTACTGCTGGAGAAATTTAGGTGCTCTACTACCACTATTGGCTTTTGTAAGGGTATATATCTCCGACCCGCAAACCGGCTAGAATATATGCTAGTACTATTATATTTTTCAGTTTGTCTAATTCACATCTAGATGCTTTTTAAAAATGTCACATCTAAGCTCCAACAAATATATAATGCAGCAACAAGAAAAAAAAAACTAGAAAAAAATAGACCACAAACAGAGTGAAAATCAGCTTCGATGTGACATATCTACGTTACATTTAGATATGTCCTAGACAGATCCTATATTTTTTATCTGAAATCTATTCTTGCATGATGAGAATATGTGTGGTATTAGTAGACTGATAGAGTGAGCTGTAAAGATAGAAAAAATCCATCTGCGAGTGGTTCTGCTTTTCTTTTTCCTAAGCTTGTGAGGATTGGCTGAGCTGCTCGTGGTGGAGTACTCTTTTAATTATTCGCTCTATTATTGGCTCGGGATGTGAACGGGATTAAGCATTTAAAGCTATCTCCAGATATTTTAAGGCGGGTTTAAACAAATCAGACGGATTACATGCAAACTGGATGTTTTTCATATAAATCGAAGCACATTAATTACATTTCGACCGGTTTTCATTAAAAAAAAGACCTGACATAAACCTAGCCTACGGCAACGCCCGTCGTCCAAGTCTTTGTTGTTCCCTTCCACGACTGCTTCCTCCATATATTGTCTCCATGAGCGACAGGGATAAGACTCGTAAAGTCAATGTGCGGTCGCTGGCGAGGAAGTGAATGAGCGACATGGGAGATGGACTCGCTCGTTTGGGGCTCGAGCCCTGCCGCCTCACATGCCTTACTCATCCTCGTCGAAATCCGCCGCCTGTCTGTCGCCGACGGATGTGAGGTCCAAGATGGAAATGGAGGAGCCGACACGCTCGTTGCCCCACCATCGCGGCCAAACAACATTTGGGGGCACGTAAGACGCGCAGCTGACGAGGTTCTCGTCCGCGATAGCCTGCGCAGCCAGCACCGCCTCTGCATCCGACTGCGCCGCCTGTACGTTACGAGCCTTGAGCACGGGCGGCCTCATAGAGCGTGTGCTGCTCGGCAACGAAGTTAAGATTCACCGCGAACATGGCCACCATGGCCTCCTCGCTCGCACACTCGCCGTTGATATGGCCCTCCGCCAGCTGCTACTGCTCGAGGAGGAACAAATTGTAGCGTTGTTCCTCTTGCACCTGCTGAAATGCCGACATAGGTGCGGGCGCCGACTACTCCTCCGCCATGGCGGCGTTGAAGTGCGCTTGTGCCAGCTCCATCGCCAAGGTGGCATGCACCTGCGTGGGCTCCGGCATGGAGTCATCGTCAAAGCTAGTCTTCATCGTGGGGTCGTCGTCGAAGACCTTCGAAGAGCAGGCCGACATGTCGGCCTCTGTCCGCCCGGCACGGTGGCCGCAAAGGCCGGTCAGCTCATGCTTTTGCTCTGTGGACAATCACTCTCACAGAGTGTTCTCGCTCGCGGGCATGGCAGATGTGGTGCATGGGAGGAAGATATGTAGCAGATGGGTTGTGGTGTGATGTGACCTGACTCTGGCCACCCTAAAATAGTGGATGCAGGTGAGGCCAAGCGTCCGGGTGCATCAGTGCGCAAGCGCGAGAGTTGGTTTCTAGGTCAGCGAGCCTGTTTAATGGGGCAGACGGAGGAACGGGCATTGAATGGGTGTGGTAGATATCCTTCCCACCCCGTCCAGTAAACGTCTGATACGTCTCCAACGTATCTATAATTTTTGATTGTTCCATGCTATTATATTACCCCTTTTGGATGTTTGTGATCTTTATTTTACACATTTATATCATTTTTGGGACTAACCTATTAACCGGAGGCCCAGCCCATATTGATGTTTTATTGCCTGTTTTAGTATTTCGAAGAAAAGGAATATCAAACGGAGTCCAAACGGAATGAAACCTTTGGCATCGTGATTTTTTGGAAGAATATCATCCTGGAGGCTTGGAGATCAAGTCAGAAAATACTCGAGGAGCCCAGGAGATAGGGGGCGCCCCCCCTACAGGGAGTGGCCCCCTGTCTCGTGGACCCCTCGAGCACCCCCCGACCGACTTCTTTCGCCTATATATACCTACGTATCCTAAAACCATCAGAAATCAAGATAGATCGGGAGTTCCGCTGCCACAAGCCTCTATAGCCACCAAAAACCTCTCGGGAGCCCGTTCCGGCACCCTGCCGGAGGGGGAATCCATCACCGGTGGCCATCTTCATCATCCCGGCGCTCTCCATGACGAGGAGGGAGTAGTTCACCCTCGGGGCTGAGGGTATGTACCAGTAGCTATGTGTTTGATCTCTCTCTCTCGTGTTCTCTCTCGTGTTCCCTCTATGGCACGATCTTGATGTATCCCGAGCTTTGCTATTGTAGTTGGATCTTATGATGTTTCTCCCCCTCTACTCTCTTGTGATGAATTGAGTTTCCCCTTTGAAGTTATCTTATCGGATTGAGTCTTTTATGAGAACACTTGATGTATGTCTTGTCGTGCTTATCTGTGGTGACAATGGGATATCATCTGCCACTTGATGTATGTTTTGGTGACCAACTTGCGGGTTCCGCCCATGAACCTATGCATAGGGGTTGGCACACGTTCTTGACTCTCCGGTAGAAACTTTGGGGCACTCTTTGAAGTACTTTGTGTTGTTTGAATAGATGAATCTGAGATTGTGTGATGCATATCGTATAATCATGCCCACCGATACTTGAGGTGACAATGGAGTATCTAGGTGACATTAGGGTTTTGGTTGATTTGTGTCTTAAGGTGTTATTCTAATACGAACTCTTAAATAGATTGATCCGAGAGAATAACTTTGAGGTGGTCTCGTACCCTACCATAATCTCTTCGTTTGTTCTCTACTATTAGTGGCTTTGGAGTGACTCTTTGTTGCATGTTAAGGGCTTGTTGTATGATCTATCTATGTTATTATTGTTGAGAGAACTTGCACTAGTGAAAGTATGAACCCTAGGCCTTATTTCCTATCATTGTAATACCGTTTACGCTCACTTTTATCATTAGTTACCTTGCTGTTTTTATTATTTCAGATTACAAAAACCTATATCTACCATCCATATTGCACTTGTATCACCATCTCTTCGTCGAATTAGTGCACCTATACAATTTACTATTGTATTGGGTGTGTTGGGGACACCAGAGACTCTTTGTTATTTGGTTGCAGGGTTGTTTGAGAGAGACCATCTTCATCCTACGCCTCCCATGGATTGATAAACCTTAGGTCATCCACTTGAGGGAAATTTGCTACTGTCCTACAAACCTGTGCACTTGCAGGCCCAACAACGTCTACAAGAAGAAGGTTGTGTAGTAGACATCAAGCTCTTTTCTGGCGCCGTTGCCGGGGAGGCTAGGTAAAGGGCACTCACTCACACCCCGTCAACTAAGCTCTTTTCTGGCGCCGTTGCCGGGGAGGTGAGTGCTTGAAGGTATATCTTTAGATCTTGCAATCGAATCTTTTTGTTTCTTGTTTTATCACTAGTTTAGTTTATAAAAGAAATTTACAAAAATGGAGTTAAGTTTGTCTCATACGCTTCATCTTTTTAATATCTTTCGTGAGTATGATGGAAAGGAAAATTGTGCTCAAGTGCTAGAAGAAGAAATCTATAGTATGTTTGATACTAAATATGTGAATGATGAGCATGATTGCAATGTTGTTAGTATGAATTCCTTGAATATCCATGATGCTAATGATATGCAAAGCCACAAGCTTGGGGAAGCTATGTTTCATGAAGATGATATTTTTAGTCCCCCAAGTTTTGATGAGCAAATTTATTTTGATGATAGCATGCCTCCTATTTATGATGATTATATTGATGAAAATGGGTGTGGAAGAGTATCAACTTTAGGAAGTAGTGATCCCACTATTTTGGAGGATGTTGAATCTTATTATGATGAACATGAAAATGGATTTGGAAGAGTGTCAACTTTATTTAGTGATTCCACTATCTTGGGAGAGGTTTCAATCGATTATGATGAGAACAAAGTTGCTATCTATCATTATTATTGTGATGACTTGTATGCTATTAAGAATAATGATAACCATGAGACTTGTCATCATGATTTTAGTTTTCAATTGGATTATGCCTCACATGATAATTATTTTGCTGAGTTTGCTCCCACTACTATTCATGAGAAGAATTTTGCTTATGTGGAGAGTAGTAAATTTTCTATGCTTGTAGATCATGAAAAGAATGCTTTAGGTGCTGGTTATATTGTTGAATTCATTCATGATGCTACTGAAAATTATTATGAGGGAGGAATATATGCTTGTAGGAATTGCAATAATGTCAAGTTTCCTCTCTATGTGTTGAAAATCTTGAAGCTATGCTTGTTTTACCTTCCTATGCTATTTTATTATTGTTCCCATAAGTTGTTTGCTCACAAAATCCCTATGCATAGGAAGTGGGTTAGGCTTAAATGTGCTAGTCATATGCTTCATGATGCTCCCGTTATGTTTCAATTCTTATCTTTTATGTGAGCATCATTGTCATCATCATGCCTAGCTAGAAAGGCATTAAAGAAAAGTGCTTGTTGGGAGACAACCCAATATTTACCCTTACTGTTTTTGTGTGTCCACATGATTATTCTACTGTAGTAATCATGTTTTATAGCTTTTGTTTCAATAAAGTGCCAAGTAAGACCTTTAGGATAGCTTACGGTGATAGTTGTGTTGATCCCGCTGAGAATCAGAAACATTTGCACGCAATAAATTAGTTTTTTTCATTCAGAGGAACGTGCTCTTGATCTGATTCTTTTTACTCTGGATTGGTACACAAATTTCTTAGGACTTCCTAATTTGGTAGGATTTTTGGAGTTTGAGAAGTATACGTTTGATACAGATTACTACAGACTGTTCTGTTTTTGACAGATTCTATTTTCTATGT